CATCTGTAAAAGATCTGAGATAAAAAAGCTATCAACAGAATTATTTCCTTTATTTCTCTCTCTTTCTCTCTCTCGTTGTACCCCACCAGGACATCACACAAGCATTAAACACAAAGTGCCACCATTCAGATGAGGATCACCCGTGGAGAGGTCCCGGAAACCCCTTTCAGCCGCTAGGCCATATTTATGGGCTGGCTATATTCAGGGCCCCCGACAAAAGCCAGGGTGGGGCTTTAAATAAAGAAAAATTGCATCTCACATGGGAACGATCATATTTCCTTTCTTCAAAGAAATGCCCGAAAATTTTTCTCCACAGTAAAATACATAAAACATTTAAAAATCATAATAAAGGAAAAGTTATTGCAAGAAAGAGAAAAAAGAGTCAGATACATATTTCAGCTTCACAAAAAGACATAAAACTTGTATAAAATCCATAGCAAAGAGAACAGCTGAAACCAGGCAAGCAAGAGATAGACACTGATACTAGAATGAGAAAAAAACACCAGGAGTCCCAAAAGATATTACATAAACAAATGTTTGCCACCATCAAGGGAATCTTCAGGGCACAGTGGCCTAGTTATTAGCCTCGCTTTCTGAAAGTCGCAGATTTGTTTCATGGACACCGTTCTCATGAATCTGCAGCTGTGGAATTCATGCTTCATGCAACACTTTGGGCTGGCAGCTCATTACCCTCTGAGCCACAGAAATGAATCCCTTACTTTTAACTGACTATACACTCTTGAGAAAGCCATGCCTGAGATCTTAGTTACCATACTTCAAGAATACCAAATGGCCACACGCAGGTGTCCCCACAGAAATATTTTTTTTTGTCCCCACAATAGTGTCTTGGAACACACATGGGGAAAGCGGTAAACAATTCTTGAGACCAAACTAAAACCTCCGTTCGTTTGTCGCATGGCTAAAAAAAAAATCGTCACATTCAACCAGAATCCCAGAAGGGAAAGCTTTAGTTTATTATGGTGAGACCAGGTTATTTGCTTCATATAAACTGGTTTATCACTGTTCGCCACCAAGTACCTCTGCAAATAAAATTCTTGCAGTGTTGATGCCATCAAAGGAGACACACCAAAATACTGTCCTGACTGACGACAAAGTCGTCTATCAGCCAGCAAATGGGTGACCTGTTTGCCGATGACAAAAAACGCCTTCTTCTTTTTATAGTACACGCTGTGGAACTTTGGTAGTCATGTCCGCCCGCAACCTTCTGTCTCATGTATCTTCAATCCTTTCTGTCACATGTGATCTTCCATGCCACGATGGACTAACATTGCAACACTGTCACTATCTTTGCACACACATAAAGAGGAAAATGTCAATAAAAACAATAGCATTTTCACTGAATCAAGTAACATTCTGGACTAATAAAAAAAGTATCATGAATGAATAAAGAAAAGTTTAGATGCCATCTCCCAAAAGATGAGACTGATTGTGTACATATTCTGTGAGTCAAAGTAAACAAATAAAACAATGTATAATCTGGTTCAATCAATACACCAACTGTGGTGAACAATTCATTTGTAAAAATCTGAAACTTCTGGGAAATCTGTAACCCTCTCGTCCTGAGACACAAACCCGGCACACCTGTCTCTGATTACTCCTCGTAAATCCCGCTATTACCAACATGGCTGCAGTGACTTATCACTAAGAAGCCTGAACACTAGCAATGGTGATTGATTGATTGACTTTCTACTCCACCAGGACATCACCCAAGCAATAAACACCCGATGACACAAAGTGCCACCGTGCGGATGAGGATCACCGTGGAGAGGTCCCAGAAACCGCATTCAGGCAATTGGCCATATTGATGACCTGCCTATATTGCGGCCCCTGGCAAAAGTCAGAGTGGGGCTTCAAATAACAAAAAATTACGCCTAACAAGGACGTAAAGGAAGTGCTAGCAATAGTGCTGTTTGCACCTGCAGTGTTTAAGACACCCCAGAATATGATTATATTTACCAAAATAGCATTTTTTGTGAAAAATAGCTTTTTATGGGCTTTGGATGTCATAATTAACCTCGGTTTAGCAGCCACATAGCATGTAAGTCAAAATGTCAAGTATGAGTCAACACAAAAGTTGTTTTTGGCCCATAGGAGTAAAATCCAATCAACAGTCTACATTGTTCTTATTTTATTGATTATCCCCCTTTATTTTTCGATTATCCCCCTTACTTTATATCAAATAAAAAATTTTACTGATAAATTGTTGATAATACTTATCAGTTACTTGTGGAACATGAAGTAACTCTCGAGACCATAGTTTTTTTTCGCCTAAGGGATGCTGGAGCAACAGGGTTAGACAACAGCAAAACCAACACACAATCAAGATTTCTTTTATAATTAAATGCAAATCATTAGATTAGAAAATGGAGGACAATGACAACAATTAGTTGCAAACAATAAACATCCATCAGTCAGTGCCTGCACAGAACAGAATGAATGAAAAGGTATGATAGATGCATTAATTTAGGATTTCCATTGAGCATAAATACCAATCCCCACCCTCCCACCCACCTCCTTCCCCACCTAGTACTGACGGTCTGTAAAAAATATGGGAGCTCTTCCCACATACCCGATACGCCTGAAGGCGTGAAAAGGGGTCTTCACTTGGTTTTTTTTTTTTAAACGTTTGGCCTCTCTGTTTATTTTATGATTTCTCTTGGACATCCTTTCTTCGTATAAATCTAGTCCCAAATAGGTGAGTCACCTTCAAATATTTGTGACAAGATCTCTTCGTATTTGTGGGAGCGCGTGTACAGCTCAGAGGAGCAAATGGATTCCCACAGTCTGGTGAGACTGATGCAGCGGGAAGTGACGAGAGATTCTGGCTGACACTCGAGGCTCAGGGGAAAGGCAAGATGAACATTTAATCAGAATGCTACTGGTACCATTGGTATCGGAATTCTTCACTGGCTGCTGAGGATGGGGACAGAGTGCTTATGGGAATGCCTGGAGTGCTGTGATGTCGGTTTTTGAATCAAATCAACTCAACTCTTGGGATTTGTGGATTTGTTAAAGATGATGTAAAGATGGTCCTCACTAATCACCTTCAAGTCTCAGTGGTCTTTAGTCCCATACCTCTTTCAAAACATCCGGATTACACATTTTGGCTATCCATGGAATTTTAAGCATTCTTCTTTAAGACTACATCTACAAGGCCCCAAGAAATATTCTGGCTTGTTTAATAACTGTTCAGGATTCACAACCACGCACTTAAATTGATAGCATGCAAGAATTATTTCCCAACCCCATGTGGCATAGATTTTTTGAGCTCTACGTCCATTTTTTTAAATGCGTTTTTTTTTCTATTCTTTAGCAGTAAATAACCAATCAAAATTTTTTTAAATATCAACATTACATGAACATTTGATTCTAAAGGAGATAATTGTGTCTGTTTACATCATTCAAAATCAATATAGTTTGAACTTATAAACACACCAAATAATAAAAAAAGAGACCAATATTGCAAGCCCATACTTGTTCACTCATAATCAAACATTTGTATGTCAGTGTAAAGATTCATTATGATTTAATGCATTGTTTATTGTAAAGACAAATTAATATTTTTCCGTCATCCTTGCACATCTTTGGACACTAACATAAATATATTTAAGGGAAACAGCAGTTAAATTTGAGTTTGCTGGCACTGGGTGTCCTCAAAATACAGATAGTCTGTCCACAAAGGGTGCTGGTATTAGCTGAACTATTATGGTAAAATGACAGCTATGACATTTGCTGTCAAACAAATCAAAATTAATATTTAAATACAGCTTCTCCTTAACTTTCTTACCACGATCCGCAATTACAACCACACGTCCAAATTACAGGTATCATTTTTGTTTACAGTATATATAAAACAGATCACGTCAGGTCTTTGTCTGAAAGGACTGTGCTACAGTTCAACAGTAGCCGATGCCACCTGTTTTCTGTTACCTGACATCCCATATTGTGCCAACAGCTTCAGGCAGAGGAGCGCATTGGAAAGGATACTAGTCTTATCCGAGGAAGAGGAAATGCAACCTGAAAACTTGTTATGGCAGGGCAGACCAGGCCCTTAGCCTTGGCTGGCAGCTGATCTAGGAGGAAAGCTCCGACAGGCGGACTGATAGAGTACTGCTCTCCTGATCCGGCAGCTTCTGCAGCCTGTTTTGTTTCAAACGTACTGGTGTTACCTTTCCTTTGGAGTAAACAAGGCAAGTTGAGGGAGGAGACATGATGCATGGGCAACATATGGTCTCTACAATACTGCCCAGTTTTTCGCTACAAAGAGAATGAACTTCATCCCTGGCCCTATTTGGTCTCAGAAACAATTGTGGAAGACTTTTCTTGACACAGGTGGGTCTTGCTAGTCCCACTCGCCAATCGCCATGGGCTGTGAGTCTCATGCCCCCTCACAGCACAATATAACACTATCATCTGGAAAGATGAAAGGGTGCCAATCAATCAATCATCTATCACATATAAAAGAGTACATATTATGTATTTTTTCACATTATGTACAATAATTAAAGGTATATTGATTAAATGTATGTTTTGTGTAATTTTTTTTTTATAACCCGTTTCATTGAAAATAGTGAAATATATCAGTTTGACTCACGGCCTGCCAGTCAGAGCAGAACTGGGTCTTAAGTCTAGGAGACCCCGTAAAAATCTCAAACAAAATGCAAAAAAATGTCTCAGGTCAAGGAATAACTTCTATTTTTTCGTACACTTTATTTCTCAATGTAAATGAGTTGTTACTGAAGTCAATGTTTAGTCAAACAGTCCGAAACCCATGTTGTCTTCAGATTCTAACTTATGATCCAACTGTACTATGGCAAAGATAAAATGAGAACTGGCTATCTAGTGCGCCCAATTGTTGTAAGAGAAAAAAAAAACATACTGTTCATATTGTATTACTGGTAACATGATAAAATGAAAGTTCTTAATTTTTTTTTCCCAGCTGCAGCAATTAATTTATGCTGGATATATATACTGAGACTCTACGGCATGAGTCTCTCATACACCCAACCGTCTGTGCCTTTGTGTGTAATTTCTGGATCAATGGTTTCCCCATCTCGAGGTAAGCGGAACACAATACGATCATGCAGACGATTGGTTTGGCCTTGCCAGAATTCAAACCTGTGTGGGACAACACGAAATCCACCCCTGAAATGTTTCAAAAGATAAAAACAGATCATCAGTTCAAACAAATAACAATAAATGCATTCATAGAGAAACTTCAAAATAAAAACACTGTTAAATGAAATATGGTCCATTTTATGGTGTTTTGCAATTCAATCCAGATCATCAGTTTAAAATACATCATGCATCACCTTACTGGCCCTTCCATCATTCATTGGCATCTTTCCGTCTTTCCAGGCGATAGTGTTATATTGCGCTATGAGGAGGCATGAGACTCACAGCCTATGGCGATGGCGAGTGTGACTAGCAAGACCCGCCCGTGTCAAGATAAGTCTTCCACAATGTCAAAAGTGGGGATGGCCATCTTTAAACTGTCTTTATGACATCACTTTTATCATCTGCACTGTGATTTCAGCTGCTTAGCACTCTTGACATCCCTAGCAATATACTGACAGGTTACAAGGCAATAGCACAGCTACTGTAATTTCTATCCCAATTGTTATGTCTTTATTTGAAGCCCCCTTTCTGCAAGCAATGAGTTACTTGACATACCATTCCCACTGTACAAACAATTCAATCCATAAGTGCTCAGACCCCCTCTTCAGTATATCCTTCAGTGTGTAGCGGCTGTATATTCAAGTTCTGTATTGCATTGGTTTATTATTATTCTTCGGCTTCCTGCCTAATGCTCTTGTCTGGCCTTATCCCTTTGCAACTGCTGTTTTACAAATAATAATATGAAAAATTCATCTTTTTTTATGGCTTGGGGCCATGATGATGCAATAGCTAGCAGGTTTGCCTGTCTGCTCTGTAGTCATATGTTTCAATCCCCTGGATTTAAAAAAAAAAAAACCAGATAGACTACTAATTTCTTCTGCTTCTTGTTTCCTTGTGTAGAGTTTCGATGAATTATAACAGTGCGTATGTTTTAAACAAAATGTTAATAACACAGGGCTATTTAACTGAAGGGCTAGCAAGTTGCTTGTAAAACACTGCCAGTTATCTTGTATTATTGATGTTTCTATGTTGTGGGTCAGGCCACTGGACTGCGCAGGTTAGGATTTGATCTTTGCCCCTGAATGTCTAGTACACAGCTAAAACAAAACAAAAAAAGAGTTTGAAGGTCAAGAAACACATGAAGAAAACTTAACTCTTTCATTTCGTAAATGTTAAAAAGTGGACCATGAACCAGTGAAAATTTCCAAAAAAAATCTTCCAAAACATAACTTTTACTCGGATAACTAATAAATTAATACATTTCTTTATACCCATTTATTACATTTTTGTTTGAAATTTGTACATATATTAAGTGTGTAATCAATAATAAAAGAGCAGAGCGAAGCATTAAATGAAATGCTTTCGTCTGGGCTTAAAACAAATTATTGGGTGTCTCATGCCGTGACCTTCATCCCTGAGGGTGAGGGGGGGATTTTAAGTCAACCTTGCCTTAAAAAGGTATTGGATTTACAAGGAAACCCTTATAAATACTATATTTAGTTCATATATTCACATCCGGGCCTCTTAAAGACTGAGCAGGTGCACACAGAACCAATGGCATTTAATTATGTTTTTCGAGAAAAGGTCACTGCCGAAATATCAGCATTTAGAGGACTGTGTCACAACTTCTCGAGGTAAAATGTTTAAACCAGGCATAAATAATACCCATAAAATTTATTTTTTTTAAATCTGAAAATATGCACATGACAAACTGAAGTCAGCCATGGGAAGATAGAATCGGACTTGATAAAAAAATAAAAGCAGACTTAGAATCTTCTTCCTTTTTCACTTGTGTTTACCGGCTAAAAATTCCATCGGAAAGTTCTGGTTGCTCGTCCACTTCCGGACTTCAGTTTCGTTCCAGAACTTAAGTGTTGCAAGCTTATCAGTTTTAAAGATCTGGTTTATCTGTATGTAGACTGTTGGTTCCTTGTCTCTCAGGCAGATGCAATCCCACTTCAAAGGAAATCCCTAATTAGAAAACTGTTACGACATGCGTGTTAGTTAGGTAGTGGATTTATTCTTGTTTTCCCCCATAATGTGGCCCTGGCACCCACACAGGAAGAGACTCCAGAATCAAAACCTAGATAATCAATAATAATTACCAATAATCAGGCTTTGGAATAGGGACATTGTCGTCACTGTATTTATTTAGAAGTTCCTCATATTTTTCTTCCAGTGCCTGAAAATGAAAACAGATGGTGTAGAAAATAATATTACCTAATCCAAGTTACTTTGCTAAAGTAAGTAATTAAGAAAAGGGCCCTTCTTAGGCCAAAGACACCTAGGAAATATGAAGCTTCTGAACTCATTTGTTATAGACCAAATGCACAATTTAAGCCTAGTTCACCTGAGAGCAAAGGTCAATTTTGAAAAAAATTTTATCCAATGCAGATTTGAATTGAACAGACTTTCAGGCCACTTTGCTATATGTGAATATTACACGAATGAATCACTCCCTCTCCAACTCCTTCCCTCTCTCTTCCTCATGCTCAGGTACAGTATATGTGTATTTACATCTGCCTACAAACTTTGCAAAAGGGAGCTGATCAATTCACACCCTATTATGTTGCTTGAAGGACTAAAAACATACCCCTACAAAAGCAAGATTACCTTCGATTATAAACATACACGCAGATACCAACATAATTATTGCCTTGTGCCTGTGGTGCAGAATGGAAGGAATTCATCATCAAGTGTCTTGCCAACCAGCTTGGGCGGTTATGCAGTCTTCAACAGCACATATCAGTTCATATGCTGACAGCCTTCCATGTTATGACATAAAAGCTGTCAAGAATCTTCTTGCATTGTCTTCCTCTGTCTCTTTTTCCACAGATCTTTTCAGTAGTCCCAACATATACATGTTCTAGTTTCCTTCTACTCATAACTTGACCACAATGTGATAACTGTGTCTCTTTCTGATGTTTGTGATCCCTCACCTCTTTCAAAACATATGGGCTGCTATTTTTTGGCTGTCCAGGAATACTAAAAATCCCTTATGTGTAGCTTAGGGAACAATCAACAACTACCCTCCATTGTAGCTTAGGGAACAATCAACAACTACCCTCCATTGTAGCTTAGAAAACAATCAACAACTACCCTCCATTGTAGCTTAGGAAACAATCAACAACTACCCTCCATTGTAGCTTAGGAAACAATCAACAACTACCCTCCATTGTAGCTTAGGGAACAATCAACAACTACCCTCCATTGTAGCTTAGGAAACAATCAACAACTACCCTCCATTGTAGCTTAGGGAACAATCAACAACTACCCTCCATTGTAGCTTAGGGAACAATCAACAACTACCCTCCATTGTAGCTTAGAGAACAATCAACAACTACCCTCCATTGTAGCTTAGGGAACAATCAACAACTACCCTCCATTGTAGCTTAGGGAACAATCAACAACTATCCAGTGACATTCATAGTAATTGTATATCTTCTTTGCTGCTCCAAAAAATCTATTTATAAAATTGAACACAAACCACACAAATATATTATCCCTTCAGTATATTGTATGGAAATCTTCTTCTTCTGTAAAGTCAGGACCAACAACAAAATTCTGGTTGTTTGTCCACTTCTGGACTTCAATCTTATTCCATAACTTGAGTCAGCTGCACGTCTGTTTCACAGTTCTGGCTTACTTGTATGCAGACTGTTGGTTCCGCGCCTAATTAATCACTTTCTACAACATGCTTGTTGAGCAGGCAGTGAGTCTACCCCTCCCACCCTACCTGAAAAAAATGGGTCCCCAGAACCTATATGGAGAGCAAGGAAATCAAAAACAACAGTTAAAAACAGCAGCTGAATGTTAGATGAAAACTATCATAAAGCCAACCTGTCTACTCTGCACCAGAGAGCTTTGCAGACTCACACAAGCACTGATCTGGCTTGTGCGAGGCCGAGAATGGAAGTATGTTGTAGATTCAGCCTCAGAAACTCGTTCCACTGAACCCTCTATGCGCACCTGTCGATGAATATGTAAGAGGCAGTTAGTTGTAGTCAAGGCCTTGAACAAATCATCATATAACTGTTCTGATTCCTGTGCCAGTGAAAAGCACACAAAATGTCATTCACAGCCTCCTTTGAAAACCAGTGAACAAACATTAATTCCAAGCAAAAAAATCCAGAAACATGCATTTGCATATTCAGTAAAACTGAATTAACAAGAATTCACTTAAGAAAAATATGAACAAAAACTCTTTGATTTTTTTATTCCTGTGGAATTCGTCTTTTTCTTCTTCATGCTGACAGGCTGAAAACTCTCGCAGTAGGTTCTGGCTGTTCGTCCACTTCTGGACTCTAGTCCTGTTCCAGAAACTTGAGTGTTGCATGCACATCTTTCTCACAGACCTGAATCATTTGTATGAAATCTGTTGGTTCCTTGCCTCTCAGGCAGATGCACTCCGATTTCGAACGAAGCTCCCAATCAGTCTACTCTTACAACATGCTTTTGGGGAGGACAGTGGGTCTATTCTTGTTTTCCCCACAATGGGGCCCCGGAGCCCACACGGGGATCTTGGAATTCATGTTAAAGAGGTTTTACTGTAAATGTATATGGCAGTCAATGTAAATGTTCGGAATGTTTCGAGCCTCTTGCTCTCTTTCTGTTTTTTTTTTTCTTTTTGATAAAGACAGCAGCTGTCACAGGGGCACTTGCACAGCTGGTGGAACAGAAAGCAACTCACACACTTACAGTGACAGATTCAATGAGCATGCTAAGAAGATCTAAACTGGCAAACTAGAATGGCTTGACAGCATTCAGAAGTCCAGCCTCAAGAATCTATCTTGGCTGCACAAACCAGGAAAGCTCTCGGTGGAAGGAAATGAAAGAATCAACAGACTGACCATGTCTGCAGTGGTTAATGGAAAAAGAAGTATGGACAGGGTACAAACTGAATGTGCTGCATTCCAGAGATATTGAGACACAGGAGTCAGAGATGATGAACTGCTTGTTGGAAATAAGTATTGAATGAGAACAAGCATGCAGAAACTGGTTGCAAATCAAACAGAGAAGATATGCCAGTCAAGTCTTACTAGACACATTGAGCATGGAGACACTAAGATGGCTGTTGCATCAAAGGACAGAGCATGAATGGGTGAGAGAACGATGGGCTGGGATGTCAATACAGACAACAAGTAACAAGTTTCTTGACTGACAAGAGAGGACTGAAAGGGCACACAACAAACTCAGGAACCTAAACAGTGGACGCAGTTGTTAGTGCATGCATGCCAAGGGTAACTAAACAGGTCAAGTACCCTTCTCGAGCCAGTGCCACACTGAGAATTTGATACTGGACTCATATTGTCTTCTTTTCCATCTTTCACTAGCTATAAACTCTGCCTGAAAGTTCTTGGTGTTCGTTCACACATGAATGGTTGTGGGAAGGGTTGGTCTATTCATGTTCTCCCAAAATGGGGCCTCGGAACCTACATGGTGAAAACTAATTTAGAGTGATGAGAAAGATAGAGAAAAAAAATTACTCCATCACCACAGGATTAAAAAAAACCTTTTTTGTTTGTACTTTTTTAATCTATATGGATCCGGACTTTTCTTTAAAAATGACCTCAGCTCCCAGGTAGACCAAGTCTTAAATGGCTACCAGGTAAAGCCCTGGAAACTAAAGATGACTGGCCTGATACTGACCACATCACCCACCGGCGACTGGTCTATCATTATATGGCCAGGACAAGGTCTTTATTTTACTGACTACCCATATCTACAACTGTTTAGGGCAGTGTAGGCCATAGAAATCCTGAGATCAAAGATTTGGAGCACTTGAAATTTAACAGCACTCAATTAAACAAGTAGTTTGAAGTCTGAATAATGGATCACTATCATGGCACACGGGTAGTAACCCATAAGTGCTCCGTTCTTCTTCTAACTCAGGTCTGAGTCCGAAGAAGCTCAGCACAGCGCACATGCTTTTGCACCGGCGAAGATCCTGAAATACTTTGGGTAGATTTTTAATTCCAAATTTGGCTATCCTCCGAATAACGCTCCTAAATTTTCGAGGTGGAAAATATACCCTAACAGGGCCTCAATCACGTGTCAATTGCGCCCTCCGTCGTCTTAAATTGCTCGCTTCCGGCGACTTCCACCACCGCCGGGGCTAAACTAGATGGCTGGGACTCACAAGCAGCAGCTACCGCATCTCCGGCAGCTTCCTTCATTTTATTTACTCGTGTATCCTAACCATCTAGTTTAGCCCCAATCCACGCCACGTGAACGGCGTGTGGGATACCCTCGGCGTTGGCGGAAGTTGCCGAAAGTTCGCAATTCCTCGGTGGCATTATTGTCCCCGGAAGAGCACAACTGGCACGTGACTGAGGCCCTGTTAGGGTATATTTTCCGCCTCGATAATTTAGGGCCGTTATTCGGAGGATAGCCCCAAATTTTGCTTGGGCAGCGTCGTTAGGCTACTCTTTTCGATTTCTGACTGCCAAGGAATTTTTTATGTGCGCAAAAATGCACACGGGCGTCCGATCTAACTACCTAGAGACCAGGGGGAATTATTAGAAGTCCAAGTCCACGTGAAAAAAATCCCAGCCCTTACCTGGAGTTGAACCCCGAACCTCTAGCACTTGAGGCGGACACCATGCCTCGAGACCACTTAGCCCACTAATTAAAAGAGTAAGATCACAGTATGGGTTTTGGGGCCCCATTTGGGTGTGTGGGGCAAAAAAAGATCCAATAATGAGCATGTAGAAAAAGATTACTAATTCATTTGGTGAAATCAGATCTGTTTGGCTGAAAGGCATTGATATCGCAGTCAATCTCTAAAGAAAGCACAGTGTGCCAACTGCCATTTCCAGGGCAAATCACAGAAGAATAAAAAACAAGTGAGACAGCCACACCAAGCTACCTACAAATGCCCAGTGACTATTCCATTTTAAATGCACTGGGAACACTTCTGGTCTATTCGACCACAGGAAACTTAAATGGCAAAAAACTTATTAAAAAGTGAGTCGCCGTGCGGATCAGAAGGTTGTGAGTTCGCTCCCTGGCAGAGCCTGACATTTTTCAAAAATGACCTTGACTCCCAGGTCGACCCAGCCCTGAGTGGGTACTGGTTGCAGTCCCGGGAAGTAAAGGCGGTCAGCGTGATGATGGCCACATCACCCATCTTGTGCCGATTGTCTATAAAAAAAATATAGGTCTAACCCTATATGCCTAAAGGTGAGGAAAAGGGACCTTTACTTTTTTAAACAGGCAAGAAACTTCTCGGACGCTGTAGCTTACATTAGTCTAACTGTCAGAGAAAAGGCTAGAATAGTTACCATATATCTGTGATGCACTATATATTTAATGTATTTACCCTGATTAACTAGGTCAGAATTGTTTTTCTACACACAATCATAGGCTTTACTTTCATATGCTCTAATCTTTTATTCACTCAGTCAGTAGCATGTCCTTTGCAGAATCTTGCTCCCATAACAACCCTCCGGCAAACTTCTCAATCACACGCAAGATGTCTCGCGTCCGATACACCCATCTGGTGATCATCTGCCAAATCCTGCACCCATCTTCTCTTTGGCCGTCCTCTTGCTCTCTTCCCAGGCATATACCTCTCCATTATGGTTCTCTCTCAACTTTTGTGACATTTCAAGTGACCAAAATATCTCAGTTTTCTGTGCTTTATCGCCGTTAATAGCCAATCTTCTTCAATACTCAGTTCTTGAAGTATGGATGCATCTTTTATCACCGCCCAAAAAAAAAATGATTGATGCGGCCATTTGTAAATAATTTACTTACCATTTTTTTCAATGGTTCCCAGTAGAACATTAGGCTGCATTTCGGATTTTCAGCCTGTATGAAAACATGGGAATCAAAATTTAAACATTGAAATATTTAGCAAATTTGGAAAGCACACATAAAACTTCAATACCACTAACAGTAGTCCCTACAGAGCGCTGCACTACCAGTACAATGCCACAAGTTAAATATCCATTTATTCTCTTTTCTTCTGTATTCCCCTTAAAAAGGTAGTTGGCAAGTTATGTTGTGGTTTACAGCAAGGCTGTGATATCTGAGCTTTTCGGCTCCACACATGTTGAATTAGGAATATACATCACAGCACTCGGGGCACACCCATAAGTGCTCAGTCCCCATCTTCAGCAGCAAGCGAAGTTCTAATTCCGATGGTACCAATAACCATCTGATTGTATATTTCTCTCATCCTTCCCCTGAGTGTTTAGTGTCGGCCAGATCCCCTGGTAACTCCTCGCAGCGCCATTCTCCTTAGACCGTAATGATCTATTTGCGCCTCTGCACTGTTCACTTGTTCCCAAAGGAAACTTGTCATACATCAATTCCCCACCAAGTGGTGCAGAGCCAGCCAGTCTTTTTTTCCCATAGTTTGTATGCCATGTTAGCTCAACACATATGATTTAATAACCCTTTGAGAGATTTCTCCTGGATTCACCCAATATCATCAGTTAGGCACTAGACATTTTTTGTTTTTTTTTTGTTAATGTGACAATGAAACTAATTAGTCACTCCACTTCATAATACTTATAATATGTGGAGTTCACAGAGTTCAATTACCTTCCACCCATACTGCAGTTAATTAGTCTTTCCTCTTGAGCCTACGGTCGCGCATAGGGCAGAGGTCATAGCTCTACATGTCTGTCGATTGATTGCCACCTGTTTTAGGTCGTGGATGTTCATAAGGCCCATAGTTGAGCCTTGCCTGATGATGGTTCTACGCAGGGTCTTTCTAGATCTTCCCCATTTTGCTTTTCCCTTCCTATGTCCATATGAGGGCTTGATGAGAAAGTTTTGTCTTACCCATTCTGAGTTCACGACCGCTTTCTTATACTGCAGTATTTACCATGAAATTACAGCCATCTTTTATTTGAAAACTATCAAAACAAATAATTCTGCATCTGCAAATGACTTCCCAAACTAAAACATACCAGTTCTTGAGCTTTTCGGCTGAGGAAGTTTGTGTAAAACACAATTCCCTGTTTGTCTATTCCTTTCATAAGAACCATTCTCACTGAAGGTGTGCCATCCCTAATAAACATAAGTAAACAAATATGATTTTAACATTACTAAAAGTTGTAAAATAATATCATTATACTGCTTCTTCTTCTTTTTAAAGTCCACGCCGTGTGGTGGTAGTCATGTCTATCCACAACCTTTTGTCTCGTGTACTTTCAATCAAATTTGACACAGATGATCCTCCATGCAATAATGTCAAACTGTCTAGCATCTTTTCTCTCGGTTTCCCTCTGCCTCTCCTCCCCTCAAACTTTCCTATTGTCACGATGTACTCCAGTTTTCTTCTCTTCATCACATGATCAAAGAATGCAGATTGTCTCTTTCTGATGTTATCAGTCCTCTTCGTGGGTCAATTTCTTTCAAGACATCTTCATTACTCTTTATCTGTCCAGTGTATTCTCATTCGTCTATAAAACCACATCTCGGCAACTTCCAAATAATTGTTCCCTAATTTACTAATTGTCCATGATTCACTGTCATATATCAAGATAGGATTTTATATAGCTTTTAAGAATTCTTTTTATCATCTAAATTGACAAAGAAAGATTGCACAAAATATTCTTCGTTTTGTGTATATTGCACTAAACCAATATTATTACAAAACCAATATTATTACAGACCAACCAGTAATAGGCAAGTGATGTGGCCAACATTACATCAGCTGCCTTAACTTGCCAGGACACTTCTTGGTGGTCAGCTAGCTCAAAATGAGGTAAAAAGGAACTCTTTCTTTTTCTTCTTCTTCTACGTTCATCCGAAGATGTAACTGCATTGTGTCTGTTTACAGCATGGCTGCGATATTTGCACCTTTCGGCCAAAACATCCGACTTCTGCAGGCATTTGTTGACCGGGTTAGCCTTCCTGGTGAACTCTTTCTATCCTGGGTAATTGTTAATTTGACCCCACCAATTAGCAGTCAGTGGTAAGGTGTTACTTAAAACTTTTAATACAAATCAGCCGCTAAGCACTCACTGATATTTTTTTTTTAAAAAAAACAATAAAAAACAACTGTACTTTAAAGTAATAATAAAAGTAGCAATTAAAACCAAGAGTTGAAGCAACAAATGTGATCGAGTGGTTCAATGTTACAGATAACAGGACAAAACAGTTAGATAAGTAGTCAGTGATATCATACTTGTACGTTCACAAATTTGTGCCATTGTATTTTCAATCAGTAATTATTTATCCTGAGAACGTGATTTTTTGCATAGGCTCCTATTTTCAACTGACGTTAATGTCTTATACACAAATATTATTTAGACTGCCCAGTTATGTCGAAACATACATTTTCTTTGTTGTTGTTATCACTTGTTTAATAATTTTAGTTAGGTAACAAAACAAATTTACAGATTTGAATTATCCTAACCCTTATCACACAAGTTACACCTTAACAACTTGTGGGGAAACTTGGAGACGATCCAGCACTCACATTTTATAGTGCATTGCAACACTTTCAGCACAATAATTGTGGTCATACTCCAAATTTTAGTATAACACAAGAAACGCAACGTTTTTGTACATTATCGATTGCTACATTTTAACTTTGTTCTGTATAACTCTAAAAAGTCAATAAAACAAGGATCATCAGATATGCATATACCTCGAATAAGCAAAAATTAATTCTAATTACTTGCTTTAAGGGCAAGAAATGTGACATTACGTTGAAAATAAACTAAATTTTATTATATAATTTAATCATTTTTATATAATTTCATCGATTCATTTTCCACTAAAACTGAGATATAAATTTTTTTTTTGTATATCCATACAAATTTGTAAATGCACAATAATATCCAGCTTTGTACATGATTCTACTCACTTTGTTGCAGTAGCTAATGCCATAGCATTAGCCTCAAAAATACCATCATGCTTCTGGGCTTCTTCAAACCATGCTTGGAACTGCTCATATGGCTCTTTAGAAACAAGGTCATCAAAATCAAACACATCATCTTTACTTCTGTAAGGCTTCCGCATGTCTGTAAAAGAAATTGTCAAATTTTACATTCAGAGTTAGATTATGTAATCTAAACTTTGCTGAGTCAATTGACAATGAAATAAAATTATACCCACACCCAAAAAAAAAAAAACTGCTGTAAATCATTTAACAGAAGAAAAGAAGCCTTAATTCTTCTTCTCTTTCTCCTGTGTTCACCCTGAAAGTGGTGAGTGGTTGGCCTGGAATGCTGCCATTAAAGCTTTGCTGTGATATTTACATCTTTCAGCCCAACACCTCTGATTTGGGAAAGGTCTAGTCACGTTTAACTGCATGGTCATCAGAGATCATTAGATCTGGTAATCTGGTGAATCTGGTAATCTTAGTTTCAGCTTCAAAGCAAACGGGTCACCACATAGTTGCTCCGCTCCTGTGCCAACGAAAAACACACAGAATGTTTACCACAGTCCCTTGTCGAAAGATCGACAGACTGCTGTCTCAGCATTTGCACTAGCATTCACACGCATTAAAAGCATACGGTAGCCATCCGAAATGCTAACACAAACAGTCCGACATAAAAAATGTAGTTCTTCAATAATGGAAGCAGAAGTTCATTGGATCTTTTCTATTGTCCCCCCCCCCCCCCCCCCCTCGGCTTTTTGCCTGGTGGTACGCAACCGTACGCAGTACCAGCACTTTTTTTTTCAGGCCTCATTTATTCAGTTCTGTTGGAATAGACACTTTTTGGTAAGTAGCTGTGCCTTTTTGTAGACTCCTTGTGGTAAGTACCTTCACTTTGTTTTTTTTTTTATTTACAAAAGTCTTGCTCTTGTCATATGTGAAATTTCAATACTAGTCTTGCAAACCTCACTGCTCGAAGAGGCGACAGACAACTCTGCAACAAAGTTTTTTGTGCAGAAGCTTTGATACCAACAAGTTAAAACTCAAGTCTTCCAGAAGATTTACAACTTTTCTCATTTTGATTTTTCTAAAACTATCCTAACTAACAATGATTGCTTGAAAGAAGCTAATGAAAATGTAAATACAACAATAAGAAAGAGACAAACACTGTTCTTTGGTCACATAATAAGAAGAGAGACATTGGAGAACATCGTGACAACTGGAAAGATCAGTGGGAAAATGGATAAAGGCAGACCAAGCGAGATGATGCAGGATGGGCTGAAATGATGGCATGGAGGGATATCATCAAGAAAGCTGTTCCAGGCAACAAGGGATCATGATCTGTGGAGACGCATGAGCGCCTACGCCAGTTGGCTGGGCACATATTGATGATGATTCTAAATGTATAATATCATCATCAGTGGAGTTGATATGTCATCTAGGGCTCACAGTTATTTATTCCATTCTATTCTATCCTGGGAACTCCGCTAAGACCGGTCCCAAGCCCGGCTGTAAAAGGAGGAGGGTCTGGCTGAACCTGAGTGCTTCATGCGTCTCCAGAAGTAGTGGGTAACCGTGAATCAGCCAGACGGCCTGCATGGAGGCCGCAAGGAGGCAGCCCCTCCACCATGCAAAGGCACAACAGGCCAATCACCTGTTTGCCTTAAACCACGATTACAAGTAACTACAGAGAGAAAACCGGACGGATCTTAACGGCGACGAACTGGCATGGCTTACGGACTACGATTTATGGAACATGGAATATAAGAGGCATTAACGGAAAGGAAAACGAGTTAGTAGGGGAGATGAGGAAAGCAAAATTAGGAGTCTTGGCTCTGACTGAAACCAAGAAAAAGGGGCAAGGAATCACAGATCACGATGGAAGTATGCTGCTCTACAGTGGTGTCCCTATGACTGAGAGAGCCAAGGGAGGTGTTGGCTGTATTGTGGCCAGGAATCAAGTTAGTAACATCAAGGGATGGAAATTCATCTCAGAGCGAATAATGGTGTTAGATCTGAAAGAAGAAGATAAAATTGTCAATTTTGTCATTGTGTACGGGCCAAATGAAGATGAGCGAGTAGATGTTAAAGAAGAATTCTTTGAACTGCTCCAAAAGGCCATAGATGACTGTCACGATGAAATTATCCTCCTAGGAGATCTAAATGCCAGAGTAGGAAATGATCACTCTAGATGGGGTGGAGTGATCGGGAGATATGGTGAAGATGTTTTGAATGATAATGGCAAGCGACTTCTCAGATTCTGCAGGGGAACAGAACCTTGTCATTACAAACACAAAATTCCCCCACAAGCGTATACATGCATACACAAGATGTGAACCTTCAAAGAATAAAAAATCCATCATTGACTACGCCATAGTTAGGAAAAGTTCATTCAAGTTTGTGAGAGATGCCAGAGTCATGAGAGGACCAGAGATTGGAAGTGACCACTATCTGGTCACAATAAAGAGAACAACTGAAAGAAACTGCTCCAAAAAGGCAACACCGACAACTATGCAAGAAACCAAGCAACCAAGAAGGGATGAGGATTAAAGCATACAAGCTAAGAGAGCCAGATATTAAGGCTAGATACCAGGAGCTTATAGTGAAAGCAATAGGAACTGAAGAAGAATCATCAGAGGACACTGAAACTCTCTGGTGCAGATTCAAGAATATCCTCACAGCAGCTGCAGTAGAAGCATGTGGTGAAGTCCCAAGTGGAAGACGGGGACACAGGACACCTTGGTGGACAGAAGAAGTCAAATTGAAAATAGGAGAAAAGAAAAGGGCATGGAAGCAATACCTGGCAGCCAGGAACACAGCTGAAGAAATAGAAAAATATAAACAATATGTGGCACTCAGAACAGAGACCAAAAATATTGTGCTTAAAGCAAAACAGAAATCATGGGAAGAGTTTGGAGAAAAGTTGGAAAAGAATGCAAGAGAAAACCAAAAACTGTTCTACAAGACCCTTAAGAACATGAGGAAGGAGAAAGAGTGCCCACTTAAATTCATAAAAGACAAGGAAGGGGCTCTGCTTACTTCTACAAATGATATCATGGGCAGATGGGAAAGAATACTTCTCAGAGCTCCTCGGCGCTGAGGGAAGTCATGACCCAGAAATAATGGACCTCACTGCTGAGAAGGAATTCAATCATGGGGAAGATAACATCAGGATGGAAGAATTGAAGGCAGCTATTGAGAAGATTAAGCTGGGAAAAAGCAGCAGGTCATGATGGTATAACACCAGAGATGGTCAAATATATGGGAGTCGAAGGTGAGCGCCTTCTACTTAAGGTTCTCCAGGCAGCCTGGTGTAGCAAAACTATACCAAAAGATTGGGAGATTGCCATCATTATACCAATATTTAAAAAAGGTGATAACAGACAATGTGAAAACCACAGAGGCATATCCCTCCTCAGCATTCCCGGTAAAAGTTACTCTAGAATTCTTGAGCAGAGACTTAGAAGTCTGGTAGAGCCACAGCTGGACGAGGCCCAGTGCGGCTTCAGAGCAAACCGAAGTACTCAAGACCTTATCTTCACACTGAGACAGATGAGTGAAAAAGCCCTGGAATATAAGAGTGAGATTCACTTATGTTTTTGGATCTGGAAAAGGCATTTGACAAGGTACCCTGGAACAAGCTCTGGGACTGCTTGGCAGGGAAAAACATCCCAGCACCCCTGATCAGTGCAATACAGAGTTTCTACAAAAAGTGCAGAAATTATGTAAGAACAGCAGACCAAAAGTCAGAAGAATTTAAGACCACCAGCGGTGTTAGACAAGGTGATATTCTCTCACCTTACCTCTTCATTCTTATGATGGATGATGTCATCAAGACCTGTAAGGAGAAGACAAAGAAGTACTCTGTAGGGTACTGGAAGATGAGACCAATCTGTATATCAGAGCTGGCTTTTGCAGACGATGTGGCCCTGATAGCTAAATCAGAGGCACACCTTCAGTCCAACTTACTTGTCTGGAAGGAAGAGCTTGAAAAGAAAGGGATGACCATCAGTGTCTCCAAAACTAAAACCATGGTGATCTCAAGAGAGGAGAAGAAACACCAGATCATGATGGGTCAGTATGCTTTGGAGCAGGTTAACCAGTTCAAATACCTTGGAGTTGTATTAGACCAAAATGGAGGCATTAAGACTGAGCTGGCTACACGAAAAGCAGCTGCTGGGAGACTCTTCCAGGCCATAAACCGAGGGTTTCTTAGCAAAAGAGAAATTGGCAAGAGGACGAAAATGGCTGTTTACCGCTCTACCTATGTACCAGTCCTGACCTATGGGTGTGAGTCATGGGCAATGACAACAGCTCACAGAAGCCAGCTGCAGGCCTCGGAAATGAGATACCTGAGAAAGGTGGTCCAAGTGACAAGAAGGGACAAAGTCCGCAATCAGACAATACGTCAAGATCTTGATACCCAGCCCTTACTAACCCGAGTGGATCAGTCACAGTTACGATGGTTTGGACATGTGTGCAGAATGGGAGAAAATCGGCCACCATGGCAAGCATGGGAGGCTAAGAACCAGGGAACCAGACCTCCGGAACGACCCAGGGTGCGCTGGGAAGACAACATCCGACAGTCCCTGACTGACAGAGGACTGGAATGGAACAAAGCCAGAAAGAAAACTGCTGATAGAGACGTCTGGCGATCTCTCTGGCAAACCTCTACACCCCAAGGTAGAAGAGGAGCGACTAAGTAAGTACTAAGTATTCTATCCTGGGTAATCCTTTCAACAACATTAAATTGAATATAAGGAATCAAGAGTTAAGATATGGTATGTGTATAAGGTCGGCATCTGTGGCTTAGGTGTTGTGAACGTGCTTCATAATGCCAGGGTGCTGGGTTCAATCACAGCTGCGTACGAATTGTCTTGCATTGGTTTCTACAGTGGTACCGAGAGCTGACTGTCCAGGAAGCAATAGCAAACTACTGAACGTAAAATATACCTAGAAAAACAACAACAACAAAAATGCTGAGTTGGTTCTGCACCGTCCTGTAAAGGAATATGCAACTAACTTCTATGTGAATGAGATCATTAAGATCTACTATCTATGTAAATCTATATCCTCTTTGTGTCGCTGTTGACATATAAGGCATTCACAAGTGATCTCCCCTGCTGCCGGTTTGCTACTTTCCTGCCCATGGTATCCCATGTCAGTTTACATTCCTTCATTTCCTGTTATATTGTCCTTCTCCAGGTTTCCTTAGGTCGTCCACATCTCTTTTTCTTATCTGCTGTCCACCTGAGAGCTGTTTTTGCCAGTGTGCAAACATGTCCAAGCCATCTTCATCATCTTACTTTGATAACATTTGCCAGTGATGATGCGCATTCTGTTTTCCTCCTCAGTTCTTAATTTGTAATCCTGTCCAGCCAAAACATTCGTAGAATTCTCCTTAAACATTTATTTTGAAAAGTCTTTATAATCTAAACAGGCATATTAAATGACTTGTACGTAGATTAGAGAATTTTCTGCTATTTTTTGTTGCGTCACAATAAGGTTGATACTTGATAAGAATTACATTACCTAAAATATATGAAAGTAACTTTTAATAATACTGTATTAAATTTAAGTATGACATTACCTGACACATTCTGCTGTTTAGCAGACTCCATTGTTGAATTACTTGCTTCTTGTGGGCTTTTAATTTCCTGACTATACAAAACCATCATCAACACATTATTACTGGTGCTTGAACTCTTCAAGAGTGTGTTGCAGTCATAAAAGCTAGCACGCTTGGATGCGTACACTAAAGACCTGTGTGCTAATCGGATTATCAACTTGGACATTTCTATTTTAACTATACAGCACGGGGGAACATTTGTTGTTAAATGTTTAGCTATGCCGAGAAATGTCAAAGATTCGATATGCTTCATAGGCACAATAGTACACACTATGATTAGAGTCAATTAACCTAGTTACACACGGCTACCTCGACAGCCCTATCCTAACAAACAGTTGAAACAGACTTTAAAAAAAGTTACGTAACCAGCTACCATGTGTCACCTTTACACAAGAACAATACGAATCCGATTAGAAGCGAATTCACATTAAAAAAACGAGTTCTTTTGTTATTTGTATAGGTAATTGCTGGTATAAATTTGGCAACAGAAAAATGCAGCTATTAAATTAAGGTTTACTTATGTTGTCAGTCACATCCCTAGTGTCACAGTAATATTATATTTAATTATTTGACAAATACGTGACAAGCAAACAGCCAACTGCCATGGCGGGAAATCAGCTGTTATATAACTAACTTATATAACCAGTACATAGTTCATAGCATTGGTTGGTTACTTAAACGCGATAGAAAAATAAAAACAATTCTGAATATTCAAACTGAGAAAATAAACCAGAATAAGAAAATGCCCCACCTGCAATAGAAGGATTTGGATTAGCCATGATTGTTTGTTATAACACTGTGGTGTGATTAAAGTGTTGACATGAAACGCTGATGGACACTTGTTTCCCTCTGGTCCAGACTTTGTCCTGTTTATATAATAAATTAATATGTTTCCCTCGGTGTGGGTTGTCTTCGATGTCATTCACTTTCTTTCGCAATTGTTGGCGTTAAAATAATTATTACACCTAGGTTCTCACGTGTATTTATGTTTGTGCTCTGCATTTAACGCATAGCTTAGCAGATGTCCCTTGTCTTCAATCTTTTAATTCCAATTTAAGCACGGTCCCTTAGAGCACGTCCCCTCCCCCCAGGGGCAACTTTGTATCTTTTGAGTAATTCGACATCGCAGCATTCAGGACAAGTCTATATTAGCTCCATCTTTTCTGCTCCCCACCCCCCCCCCCCCCATTAAAAGCCAACGAAAAGTTTCCTTATTGATGGTACGCATTGTCACTTGGTTAACTATTCGTCTTGCCACCCCACCCCACCCCACCCCCAAGTCTCGAATGGCGCCCAAAAGCCGCAGACAGTTCCTGCTGCAACATTCTTTCTAGTGCGGGTTTCCGGTATTTAATATTTCACTTGTTATCTTGCTATACCTCTGCCTTTATGCAGCTGCAATACCCTCCACCAAACTTATCTGTCGGTTCCATCCCAAACACGCCTGAATGGCTCAGGCAAAAACCCATGTGACTCTCACCATTGGCGACCATTGCACTGATGAGACCCACTCCATTCAAAGAAAATCTGAGCATATTTTGTGAATCCAGTACTATTCAGTGACCTACGGGAGAATTATATATATATATATATATATATATATATATATATATATATATATATATATATATATATATATATATATATATATATATATACTGGAGAAGGCGGTATACTATTACAATATTTTATGGCTGAGATTTTCTCTGCCAATCGAAACGCCACAGTTACCGCCTCAACTGCCATTCTCATACTGGGTGTGGTAATGTCGTATGCCAAGCTATATTCCTTCATTCTTCTCCTCCATGCGTTCACGGTGAAGCCCCATCCAATCTTTCTACACCTGGCCCATCAGTGAATATGATCACATCTCCTGGTCTATAGTTGTCCTCTATCATCTCTTGAACCTCAGAGACTGCACGTCCTGCTGCCCATTCTCTACATTTCCCTCCAAAGGTTACTACCTTGTGCAGCTCTTTTTGTCCCTCCTGCATCTGTATCCATACTTCTCCTCTGCTAATTTCTAAGACCCCCCACCCAGGCCTCAGTCTTCCCACATAAACAGTTAATAGCAAAGAGCAAAGAATCCGAAACGATCGTGTGTGTGGTGTTTGTGTGTGTGTGTGCGCGTGCGTGCGTGTGTGTGTGGGGTGGGGGGGGTGTGTGCGCGCGTGTGTGTGTGGGGCGCATTCGTAGACCAGGAGAAGGCACAGAAGTCGATAATTAGGCAAGTATTATGGAAAGTCATGGCTTGATATGAAGTAAGCGAAAACATCATCACAGTAGGCAAACGCTTTTACTGGGAATGTAAGAGCATATTTAGATTAAATCAGGGAGACTTTAAACCATTCACAGTAACTTCTGGAGCGAGATAATGATGTATGGTACCACCATTGCTGTCTATCACCTACATCAACGGTATATGCAAGGATGCCAAGCCCATAAAGGAAAATATTAGTAACATCAACAAATTACTATTTAGAAAATCAAAGCAACATTTTACAATCGTGAATTTGAACAAAGAAACAGAATTACTCTGTGCTGATGACTAGGCTATAAAAACAGATACAACCATGAAATTGTAACTTCTCACATCCATGAATGAATAATGTAAAACATATATTATGAGAATCAACATTGGAGAAAAAATCTGAAGCAGAACCTAAATTTAGCAATCTGAATTAACTATCTGCGAACAACATTCACAGAAAATGGTAAATTGGATGAAGAAATTTTACATCATTTGCAGTAAAGCAAACAAATATTGGGAAATCTAGCCACCCTCTTTCAGAATAAGACAATCCTGATAAGCAAAAAGAAAAATCTTATATGAAGCATATTCATTCCCATTTGCTATCGGTACCAGACATGGTCACTCACAACAAACCATAGAAGAAAATTTGTAACCATGGAAATAAAATGTCTAAGAAGGGCTGCAGGAGTGACAAAAAGAGACAAAATCAAGAATGAGGTTATAAGAGACAAAGCTGGCACAGAACCAGTTCTAAGTTACATACAAAGTCAGCAAACTAAAAGGTTTGCCAACTTAGAAAGAATGCCTTGTGATGCCGTAACATAAAATAAAAATAGCAAGAGGTAGACCAAGAACAAAATATGCCTATACGACAGCCTAATTTGCCTATAGTCAAGGAAGCCAAAAGAAGAATAAGCAGAACGTTATATCTTCCTTGACACCCCTAGTGGTAAAAGAGTAAATGCATACAATTTGTGACTTAATTTCTTTTCTCCAACTCTTCAGTTATCATAGAAAAGTAGTTCAGGATATTTTACACATCACGAAGAGTACTGCGTTTTTATGCTAGTCTGGCACTCTATGAAAGGTGTGGTCACTATCAAGCTGGACACCTTTACTTCCCAGTGCATTTCCTGGTACCAATAATTTTTTTTTTTTTTAACCCTATTCATAATCCTCAGTCATTAGGACTAGCAAGCATTGGGCTAAAGTCATTATGGCTCCCTTTTCTGGTAATACACCTCATACACTTCATGTTTTCTCTTAGTTTTGTTGCAAGCATCACTTCAGAGATCCCGGATAGTTAGCATCCTTCAGATATTTTCTCCAGAATATGCCGGTGTGTTGGGAAATGAGCAGGCAGATAGACTGGCCGGTTCTGCACCACTTGGTGGTGAATTAATGTATGACAAGCTGGATGTTGTGAGAGCCCTTTGGGAGCGAGTGAACAGTGCCGAGGCACAGATTGATCATTATGGTCTGAGGGGAATGGCACTGCAAGGAGTTACAAGGGGATCAGGCGGACGCTCAACACTCAGGAGAAAGGCGAGACGGATATACAATCAGTCAGTTACTGGCCCCATCGGAATTTTAACTCTTTGCTTGCTGCTGAAGATGGGGACAGAGCGCTTATGGGGGTGTCTCGAGTGCTATGATGCCGATTCTTAATTCAACATTCTTAGTTTTGTTTCATTGACACATGCAGGCTCTTGGTATTTCAGTATGATTTCCTCTCTTTCCATGATAATCTAGATGTTTGCATGATTGCACCCCATGTGAGTTGTGGTGCCTCGTATCGTATGGGGGGGGGGGGGGGGGGGGGGTTGGACCCACTGCCCCCTAAAAATGCCGGCTCTAGGAGGTGACTATTTTAGGGGTGTTTGCTTTGAAGTCAAAGCGCATCTGCCTCAAAGATGAGAAACCAACAGTCTGCCTTCAAATATGATATTCATGTAAATTGGATGTGTATGCAAAACTCAAATTCTGGAACAAGACCAAACTCCAGAAGTGAACAAACAACCAGATTTTTCCACCAAAGTTTACAGCTGGCAAACACAAAGAAGAAAAAGGGCATGATTGATGTCCATCTTGCCTGTCCTCTAAGATTTGAGTTAGTTAGTTGGGTTAACATCATTGCACTCCGGACATGTCCATAGGTACTCAGATTCTCCCCTCAGTATGAACCCCAACGTCCGATGGCTAACAGTACCAGTTTTATGTTGATTGTATTCTGGTGTGTATGGTGTGCGTCTCGTTTTTTGCTATGCCGATTTTAATTCCTAAGTCTGCCATTCTGGTGAGTGATGTGGATTCACGGCCCCCAAAGCGTCTATCCTTCCCATTTCTCTGAGGGCATTAATAATATCAGCATGATCCATAGGCTGACCGTCGGTAGTAATAGCGGATCCAGCCAACCTATCAGCTCTTTCATTTCATAAGTGTTGAGTGTCGGCTTGATCAATGATCGCTCTTTACCGCATCATTCTCTTCAGACCCTGGTGATCTATTTGTGGTTCAGCACTGTGGACTCGCTCCTAAGAGGCCTTGATCACAACTATTTTGTCGTTCATCAGTTTACCACCAAGCGGTGCAGAACCAACCTGTATATATCTGACTGTTCTAAAGAAAATATCCAAAAGACACCAACTTTGCAGAATAGTTTTGTCTATGATGGCAGCCTTTGTATAAAGCACCTTTGCTTGCAACTTAAAAACTCATAGCTTTATTAAAAACAACAGAGATTTCGAGTCTGAAAGATAAAGGGCTATAATGTTTAGTCAATTACTAAGCAAGATTTTCTAACATTTCAAAGAGATGGTAATCCAGACTGGCACACTTGATGAGAAAAGAACAAAATGAGTCAAAAGAGAAATATCTGAATGACTTGACAAAACCGCACGAATAGGATTAACTTGGCTTAACGCAAAATCTGGATAACATGCCTTAACCAAGACGCTGGTTACTTTCAGATGACAAACCATGACTGCATACACTTTCTG